TTCAGCAGCTTTGAGCGCAGCGGGGCTCCGGGCTTCAGCTTGGCTTTGGGGAACTGGGACAGGTAGGTCATGACGGAGTGCTCATCCACATTGGGGTCGACGATCTCTTCGGGGGCGATCACCTGCGGCGGAGGGGAAGGAACAACGTGAGAGGCATTTCCTTCGATCTCAGGTGTCCCCCAGTGTGGTGACCCCGTAGGGTTGCCAGCTTCCAGGTGGGTAAACACAGAAAACACCGTGTTGAAATAATAAACCCAATATCCACATGCACTTATAGCTAAATACATTTGCTTTATATACAACCTAGCAGTTCGAAAGCAAGAAACTGCAAGTCGATAAATAGGTACCACTTCGGTGGGAAGGTCACAGCGTTCCGTACGCCTTGGTGTTTAGTCATGCCGGCCACATGGCCACGGAGACGTCTTCGGACAGCGCTGGCTCTTCGGCTTTGAAACGGAGACGAGCACCGCAACCCTAGAGTCAGACTCGACTGGCTTTTGAGCAAGGGAAACCTTTACCTTTACACAACATCAACATCATCTGGAAGAAGACCGTTGGACTCTTCATGTTATATAACTTAGTTTGAAAGTGTCTGAAATGGGATGTTGTCGTTTGAAAGTGTTTACAATACACTAGAGTTGATGTTGTGTATAAAAAGTAAATATATGTTTTCTGTGTTTATCTAACTTAGCCGTGTTCCCTGTGTGCTTGTTGAGCCTCCATGTGGGGCCTGGGGATCTCCTGCTTTCACAGCCGATCTCCAGCTGACGGAGATCAGCTCCCCTGGAGAAAAGGGCTGCTCTGAAGGGTGGACCCTGTGGCCTTGGACCATGCCGGGCCCCTCCCCTCCTCCAAACCCCGCCCTCTCCTGGCTCCACCCCCAAAGTCTCCAGGTATTTTCCAACCGGGACCTGGCAACCCTATGACCCTGCCATCTTTCCTCGCGCCCACCAAAGCAGCAGGGTCGTGTGGGACTTTTGGAGACTGGAGGGGCCGTGCAGGTTTTTAAAAACGTCGCTTGGGCAGCAGCCGCCGCCACAGCACAGGGATCTTCACTGTGGCCGCCATTTTGCGACCGGCTCTGCCTACTGCAGCGGCCATTTTGTGCTGGCCGTTTTGTGGCTGTGCGCACCACACCTGTAGCCTGACTTGCCTCTGAAGGAGCTCCGGGCCGTGAACATGGTTCTCTCCTCCTCCTTTTATCCTCACACTAACCCTCTGAGGTAGGCAAGGCTTTAGGGTTGCCATTCCTCCAGTGGGGCCAGGAGATGCATCAGTTTCGGGGGGCCCAATCCGCCGTGGCCCGGCAGGCTGGTAGAGGAAACCCCACCCCGAGAAGCTCCAGCACAATAACATCACCTGGGAGTGATATCATCGTGTTTCCAATGTCAGGGTCGACGGTCTAGGTTTTGGGTAAAACTCTATGGCTTGGAGGCCCAAAAAACCATAGAGTTTTGCCCAGAACCTAAAGCGTCACCCCCAATGTCGGAAGTGCGATGACGTCACTTCTGGGTGATGTCATGGCGGTGTGTACGCTTTGCGCGCATGCCAGAAGAACTCCAGAGAAGATCTGGCAACCCTACAAAGTTAGCTGTTGTGGATTTCCCGGGTTGTGTGGCCGTGGTCTTGGCATTGCAGGACCCGACGTTCGCCAGCAGCTGTGACTAGCATCCTCAGAGGTATAACACAGAAAGATGGAGTACTCTCTGAGTCAAGGTGAGAAGCAAAAAAACGGTAGGCAGGTAATTTATATCCACTCAGGAAGGTGGGGTAGGGCCGAGTCATTATCTTGTAGGAGTTCCCCGGGCTGTGAAACATGCTAATGGAGGAGCTTTCCTGAGGGGGTTCTTTTGCATATGGATTGTTTCCTGAGGAGGCTTCCTGTTTCCTGAGGAGGTTCTTTTGCATGTGGATTGGCTGTTGGAATTCTAATCTTATCGGTAGTGCTATTGTCAGATGTAGAACCTTTTGTCTACAAAGCTTCATGTTGGAAGAGAAATTTGAACCCAGGATTCTCCCACATTCTAGTCTGACACTCTGACTACTCCGCCAAAGAATAGCTGCCTTGCCTCCTAACAGTACAACAACTGGAGATACACAGTGAGAAACAGCAATAAGAACAAAACTGTGTACAAAACGATTCACCAAAAATCTAACAGGGCTTCTATCCACGTGACGGTCGTGGGACGCCATGGGACCAGTGTGGGAAGTGGGTGGAGTGCCCGACTAGTACCTGGAAGACTTGAGTTCACATCCCAGTTTCTCCCGCGAAACTTTGCTTTACCTAGCCTACCTCACAGGGTTGTTGTGAGGACAATGCAAGATGAGAGAGCCGCGCATGTTGCCCTGAGCTCCTTGGGAGGAAGGCAGGATAGAAACAGATTAGATCTACTAGCTGGACACCCAAGGCAACAAGCCAAACGTTCCTGCAGCACTGAGAGGCCATCAAAACCCTCGCCCTGTTGAACTCCTGCCCATCACGCAACTGTTGAACTCAGCTCTGTCGCAATATTTGCAGCCCCTGGAATAGACCGAGGATCTCTGTCACCTGGAGATCGCTTGGAATAGCGGGAAATCTCCAGACCCCACCCAGAGGTTGGCGACTTTAATTTTAGCTCTATCCAGAAAACGGTGGAAATTCTAAGAGGGGGGGGGGCATGGCCCAGCACCCTCAGCGCAGATGCTCCCTCTAAGCTGTGGAATCATATGAGCAAAAATTCTACTTTGTGAGCTACTCGCATTAAAGTTGTGAGCAAGCGATTTGGCTGCTGCAGAAATCAGTTTGCTCTGGAGCCATCCTTCCTGAGCTAAGACAAAAAGGCGTGAGCCGGGGGCTAAAAAACTGTGAGCTGGCTCGCAATAACTAAGCTTAGAGGGAACCCTGCTCAGCACTCTCCTCCCCCCCCGCCCCCTCCCTTGAAAGCTTGTCCTCCCCCCTCGGGGGAAACGGCTACCTGAGGCACCCCCAGCCAATCGTCGGCTTGCTGCATCGCTTCCCGGGCATTCTCCACCGGCTGGTTGGGGTCCCAGGTCTCCCAGTCCGGGCACAGGCCTAGAGGAAGGAGAGAAGAAGGCAGCGTCAGACGGGCGGCTTCGGCCTTGGCAGCCGACTCCAGACAATAGGGGCATTGTGGCCTCCCTTGGCACGGCCGGCCGATCCCTCCCTGAAGGGCCGCGGTCCGTATCTGGCTGCACCCCAGATAATCCTCTGACCACCACCTGCTCCCAGGCAGGACAGACCCGGATGTCTGCAGCCCCTGGAATGGACCGGGGAAGCCACGTCCTTCCCCTGCTTCCGGAGGGGGGGGGGATATCAGGGAGATGAGGAAGGGGTGCAGAAATAGATGGGGCTTGGCGGGCCAGAATTTCCATCTGGGGAGAAAGAAGCTGCAAACTGGCAAGCTTATTGCTCCCTGTAATCAACATTAACGCTTTATTTTATTGACTGGCCTTCATAGGAACATCAGGAGAGCCCCGATGGATGAGGCCAATGAGGGTCCATCCAGTCCAGCCTCCTGTCTCACACAGTGGCCAGCCAGTTCCTCTGGAGGGCCAACAAGAGGGCAGAGAGGCTGAGGCCTTCATAAGGACATCAGAAGAGCCCTGCTGGATCAAGCCAGTGAGGGTCCATCTAGTCCAGCCTCCCATCTCACACAGGAGCCAACCGGTTCCTCTGGAGGGCCAACAACAGGGCACAGGGGCCAAGGCCTTCCTAAGAACATCAGAAGTGCCCTACTGGATCAGACCAGTGAGGGTCCCTCTAGTCCAGCATCCTGTCTCACTAGGGTTGCCAAATTGTTTTTACCTGGCGGCGGGGGGCTCGCGTTCGGCGTTGTCAGTGCGCGCGCGCCACATGCACGTCATCTGGATGTGACGTGATGACGCCAGGCATGCTGGGGGCGGGCCCACAGCCACAAAACACTCTATGTTTTCCCCTCAAATGGCTGTGGCCCCGCCCCCAGCGTGCCTGGTGTCATCACGTCACATCCGGATGACGTGCACGCCGGGGTGGGGTTTCCCCCGGGGCCCGATTCCACCGCGGCAGAAATCGGGCCTCCAAAGCGGGGGGAAATCTGCCCCCCGGGGGGATTTGGCAGCCCTATGTCTCACACAGGGACCAACCAGTTCCTCTGGAGGGCCAACAACAGGGCACAGAGGCCATCAGAGGAGCCCTGCCGGACCAGACCAGTGAGGGTCCATCTCGTCCAGCCTCCCGTCTCACACAGGGGCCAGCCAGTTCCTCTGGAGGTCCAACAACAGGGCAGAGAGGCTGAGGCCTTCTTTAGAACCTCAGAGGAGCCCTGCTGGATCAGGCCAGTGGTCCATGTAGTCCAGCATCTTGTCTCACACAGGGGCCAACCGGTTCCTTTGGAGGGCCAGCAACAGGGCAGAGAGGCCGAGGCCTTCATATGAACATCAGAAGAGCCCTGTTGGATCAGACCATTTGTCCACCTCGCGCAGCATCCCGCCGCACACACGGTGCCCAACCTTGCCCAACCTATTCGTAATAGCAGGAGGACTCCAGCCCCTGCCTGGAGGTTAGCAGCCACTGAGGTCGCTCCCGTCCCCAAACCCCACCGTCTCCAAGCTCCACCCCCAAATCTCCAGGAATTCCCCAGCCCAGAGTTGGCAACCCAATGTGGACAAGGAGAAGGCCTCTGCCCTGGCTGCACAAGACATTAAATCAGGCCATAGGGAGATGGCTTAATTGGCGGTGGGAGGGCGTGTGGCCTGACGGAGGGCTCGGAAACATCCGGCCTCTAAGGCAGGCAGCGGGAATCCCCCAGAGCGAGGGAGAAACGAGGCCAAGAACGGAGGCGGTGTGGGGGGGGAGGTTAGCGGCTGGGGGGGGAGAGACTCGCAGGGAGACTTTCGACATATAAGGCTTCTTCGTGGCTTCTGCTAAGGTAAACTTGGCCAGCGGCTGAAGGAGAGCAACCGGCTTGGAACGCTCCCCGGCCTGTTGGAACCATAACCCTTTCCCCAAATCTAGGAGTTTGGAGAAGCATGTCTGCGGGGGGAGGGTGAAATTGGTTAGGGGGGGTCCTTACAGGAGCCACTGGAGAGAGTGACTCCCCCACCCCCACCCCACCCCCGGCTCTTCCCAGGGATTATTTTCACCCAGGAGTCGCCAGGTCTGAGAGCCAGTCTGGTGTCGTGGTGAAGAAGAAGAAGAAGAAGAAGAAGAAGAAGAAGAAGAAGAAGAAGAAGAAGAAGAAGAAGAAGAAGAAGAAGAAGAAGAAGAGGAAGAAGAGGAAGAAGA